AACCTACAGATTATTCACTAATCTGTAGGTACAGATTAGTGAATAATCTGTAGGTTGCACTGTTTCCCAGAATTAACTGTAGGCTTTTAGCCAATGAGAAGACAGATGGTGACTACAATGTATAATAATTAATATTAGTGAAAATTATTATTGTGATACTGTGGGTACAATATACACCTATCTTTGTTTGTTTGGTTGGCTGCTGGCAAGCTACCAGCTGAGGACGTACAGTTACGTTAGAAAACAGCAAAAAACTAGAAGGAGGTGAGGACGACGACAGAAGAGGATCAACAATTGCCACTCCTCATACTTTCTAGAACACTTTCAGTGTACATGGAAGACTACAGAAGCTGGCAAAAAAGGGCTGTAAGTAACAGAGTTTAATAAACTACAGAAGATGTGAAACACTTTTTGTCAACTTACACTGCATCAATATTTTCTTCCTTCTACCAGTAGTACCTAATAGTGATGCTACCTAACAAGCTAGTGGTATCAAGTACAGCACTCCATTTATCTACCTGGCTATAGTAAACCAAAAGTGGTTTGCCTTAAAAACAGTGATTTTCAATCACTGATCACTCCAAAATTTTTTTTGTACTCACATGTTCATCAACAGGTTCTTGTTTGATTGGTAAATCAGGAAGAGTCACACCATCAGGGTCCTTATTTCTGAGACGAAGTGACTGTCGTGTGGGTAGCATGGGTGCTTCTCTAAAATTTTTTTTAGGTCTGCAATCAACATGACAGAGAGGTTTGCATGATAAATAAAGTGTACCATATTTTCCCAGTGCCTCAATTCACTCAAACATACATTATGTATAATGCATTTCTTATCTAGTACAGTTAACTCTCTTTAAGACCTAGACCTTTGGGAATGGCACTAAGTGTCCATCTTTGAGAGATGGCATGCTCATCTTATAGAGAGTCAAATAACAGGAGAAAAGAAAGACAGGGTCACTGCTCAAGGTGTCCGTTAAGAGGGACTCGACTGTATTTTTGTTCTTAACATCATTGCTGGAATGTAAAATGTAAGAAAAGTAAATTAAGTTATACATCAGGGATGTTATTGCCCTGCCCATTCCCCAATTAAGCAAATGAAAGAAAGGACAAAAGACAAAAGAGGAAAAAATAGATATATATATATATGAAGAATGACCATAGAATCCTTCAGGCTGCTCCACATAAATGCTATAAAATCAAAATGGACAGCCATATATCAAACCACTTATTGATATTTGACAGTTTAGGAAACTGCAGTCAAACTTTTACACTCATGGTCTGATTCAATAAAAAACAGATTTTAGATGAGGGGCTACTTCTGAAAGCATTCCTGTAAAATGAATTAGAAATTAAAATATTATTGCAAAGACAAACTCATGAAATTGCATGTTACATGTAAGCCTAACCACTCTTGATGTAAGTTAAGAATGTCTCTCACAATGAAAATTTTGAACAGAGTCACCTAGCAAGTCCTCTTTGCTTGACCTTTGAAGTGGACTGTGGAGTCATGGAAGTATTAAAATCAAACTTTGCCTGCAAAGAAAAGCCATATAAATGATGAAATTACCATAAGTCATGAGTATGTATACATACTTAATAAAACAGAATGTTAGGAAACAGGCTAACAAGGACAAAAAAGCACAAGAAAGAGTAGCCAGTGTTTCCTGACTCTTTGGTCTTTTTTTATCATTCAAACATTGTTGGGTGCATGGCAAGGTCTTGGTTGTGCCATGCACCCAACTGTCTCTGTCACTCACTGACTTACAAATATCAAATATTGTTCTCATTGACAAAAATTGCCCTAAAAGCAACGAAACTCACTAAGAGGGCCCACATGTATGTAAAAATGAAAGTTCACCTCAAATGACAGTAAATAAGGTTGGGTTAGAAAATGCAAAAAATGCAACAAAATAAAGATGAGAGCCTACATTGTATTCTGAAAACACACAATTAAGCACAAATGTGCAGCATAGCTCTCGCACAGAAAGAACCTCTACTGCTCAGTTAACTGTCAATTCCCTGGAATCAAAAACCTTTCCAGCAAGTTTACCAAGTCTTATTTTAACTGGTATTTAAAGTATTTGTTTGTACCTGAGTTAAGTTTAGTCCCTCAAAGAAAGCTTGATTTCTTCTGATATTCTCCAGCCGCATTTTTTCATAATCTGACAAGCCATCATCATCACCTTCCTTAATACATGTAAGAATCAAGTGTCAGAACATTTGTTTTCTTTAAAAAGTTGTAGATGGAATCCATCAGGAAATTGAGTAATTTTAATTCTCAGTTGACAAAAACCTTGTATCAGAATATTTTAAGCCATATTGCATACTTTTTTACACTTTTCAAGGGCTATACATGTAATCAGTTATCTGTAATAACACCACAGACAATTTCTTATGGGAACCCAAGAAAATAAATATCAAATTTCACAGGAATTGAGAAAACACAAGTAAAATGGTCATGTTTACGATTTCATTGGGAAAAATTCAAGCTTTTAAGTTTGTTTCTTGGGCTCCCATAAGAACATTTTCTTTGGAGTTATTACACTTGTTTCATTTATTTTTATGACCAGGCAACGATCTGGTGGTAATTGACAATAGCAAGCCCATGATCCACCGTCTGTTCGGGGGAGGATTTAAGGCTCATTTCCCGAGCAGCGGCTGGTTATTGAGCCTATCCTGAAATGCAATTTTTGTTTTTCATTTTAGTGTCCAATTCTTGCCTTTTGTTTATTACCTCACATCCACTGCTGGTTGATGTGAGTTTGAACCTGTTTGCAAGAGTTTGATAAAATGACACCTTCTCTTGGATGGTAAATACTAACTATAAAAATAATATTGAAAATTATCTTTTCCAGTTTTAAGGATCATGATGACCTTGAGCTACATGTGTATGAAATAACAGTATTGCAATCTANAAGTTTACCAAGTCTTATTTTAACTGGTATTTAAAGTATTTGTTTGTACCTGAGTTAAGTTTAGTCCCTCAAAGAAAGCTTGATTTCTTCTGATATTCTCCAGCCGCATTTTTTCATAATCTGACAAGCCATCATCATCACCTTCCTTAATACATGTAAGAATCAAGTGTCAGAACATTTGTTTTCTTTAAAAAGTTGTAGATGGAATCCATCAGGAAATTGAGTAATTTTAATTCTCAGTTGACAAAAACCTTGTATCAGAATATTTTAAGCCATATTGCATACTTTTTTACACTTTTCAAGGGCTATACATGTAATCAGTTATCTGTAATAACACCAAAGACAATTTCTTATGGGAACCCAAGAAAATAAATATCAAATTTCACAGGAATTGAGAAAACCTTAATAAGTAGTTTCTTAGAAATCGATTTTGAGATAAATATTAGCGATAAAAAATCACGACGTTTCGACCTCTCCGAGGTAATTTTCAAGTGTATAAAAGTTCTCTAAATTAGCATAAATAAGTTAAAAACAAGTTATAATAGATAAAAATGTGGTGAATGCTAAAATGTGATAAAATATGTAAAAATGTAAAAAGTGCTAAAAAGTGCTACACTTGAAAATGACCTCGGAGAGGTCGAAACGTCGTGATTTTTATCGCTAATATTTATCTCAAAATTGAGAAAACACAAGTAAAATGGTCATGTGTAAGATTTCATTGGGAAAAATTCAAGCTTTTAAGTTTGTTTCTTGGGCTCCCATAAGAACATTTTCTTTGGAGTTATTACACTTGTTTCATTTATTTTTATGACCAGGCAACGATCTGGTGGTAATTGACAATAGCAAGCCCATGATCCACCGTCTGTTCGGGGGAGGATTTAAGGCTCATTTCCCGAGCAGCGGCTGGTAATTGAGCCTACCCTGAAATGCTATTTTTGTTTTTCATTTTAGTGTCCAATTCTTGCCTTTTGTTTATTACCTCACATCCACTGCTGGTTGATGTGAGTTTGAACCTGTTTGCAAGAGTTTGATAAAATGACACCTTCTCTTGGATGGTATATACTAACTATAAAAATAATATTGAAAAATATCTTTTCCAGTTTTAAGGATCATGATGACCTTGAGCTACATGTGTATGAAATAACAGTATTGCAATCTACAGGAACTACATGTAAATTGAGAAAATAGTTTAAACGGTGATTTTATTTATTAGAAATCTATAATTGTTTATTAAAAAAATAAACAATTATAAATTGATGAAGTGACACCTAACCATTTTATAATAAAAGATTGCATGGAAATCATAAGATTTGTAAATTCATCCTGTTGGTCAATTTTTTTTATTCTCTATGATACTGGCTATTTCATTACCTCATTGACTGCAGATTCATCCAGTTTCCTGGGATTTCTGTTCTCAATTAACGACTCCTATTAGAAACCATCAAAACATCAAATTAATACAGGTGACTACACTGTATTACTCACCCTTTGGGATGAGCTACAACAGGCCTTCTGCTTTACAAAGAAACTTTTAAGAAGAACTTAACATTCAAGGGGGTGTTATATTATAATAGGTTGGTTTATTCGAGATTGAAAAATAATGTACTAAATAAAACAATAAACAATCTTTATTTATACTCTTGGCAGTATATTTACATTATGAAGGCTAGTGGAAGAAAGTAACGTAAACAATTGAAACAAAAATATCAAATAAACATAACATTAGGTTTAGAATTCCAACTGGCATGAGGCGAACCAGTAGACTACAAGGCCGGGTTGTTCAAAGCTAGGTTATGGTAACCCAGGGTTAGTGTGAAATTTGAATTCAGATAAGAAACCTTAAAAGAGAATTCAGTTTAATTCTTTTTGTACACAGTTTGGTAATTGGATGAACTAAAAAGAATAGAGAAAAATATCTGAGAAAATCCTTTTGAAAAAAGGATAAAGAAGCCCAGACTAAAATTTAACCCTTCGGGATGAGCTACAACAGGCCTTCTGCTTTACAAAGAAACTTTTAAGAAGAACTTAACATTCAAGGGGGTGTTATATTATAATAGTTTGTTTATTCGAGATTGAAAAATAATGTACTAAATAAAACTTAATCGGCCTTTGAACAACTGGGTCCAGGTATATCAACAAATGTGATCAAGGAGTAGATAAGGTAAGATAAGATAACTTTATTTTGTCACTTCAGGATATCTCTATTTACAAAAATCTATTTACAAAATTATTATCAACATGTGATAAAAATCTAAAATGTATCATTATAAGAATACAAAAGTCACAAAAATACTAAAAACAGAGGAAGACAAAATTAAATATTATAACAAGATATTTTGCTGCATGGCAACATCCCAATTGGCTAGTAAATAATTGGCATGTTCACTTTTAACTCTTATTCTATTAAAGATTTCTTACGATAATTTCCAGAATCCATTAGGCAAATCAGGTTTAGATAACTTAACGAGGTCAAGACCAGCCTTAAAGGCATTGATACTTGTTTAATTTCGCATGCGTAGTGGCAGCTGGTTCCAATATTTGATAACGCTATCATTAAAGAAGTTATGAACTGATCCTTAATGGAGTTGAATAAGAGAGACAGAGAAACAAATTCACCATAGGTTCATGTTTGTATACTATATGTCCCTGGGCTCTTTTATAACCTTCATCAAAGAGGACTAGTATTATTAGCTGCCATTAATACAAATGAGGTTGTGGATGGATTATGCTACAAGTACCTATTGATCTTGGGAACTGCTTAAACCATGGGAGGACCACTTAGACAAAAAGAAGCAAATCTGATCTTCATGTACATCATGATTTAAATTCCTTGCTTTTAGCTCGCTGATCAGCCTTACATATCACTTTAAGTTACTTTCTGGTACCATGCCAATAAGGCCAGTATTGACTGGTTGAATACTCTTGAAGAGAACTATAACTATTATTATGTTATGCAGTTAAGGGCTGGTCAGTTAGTGTGGGAAAGGTGGGTGGGTAACAGGGGGTCCAAACCTCCCTACCTCCTATGCCTTGCATCCCCAGTTCCTGCTCATTTTTTATTTTGTTTTTGGCTTCCTCCCTGCTCCTTGTTTTCATTGCAAAAAATTAGGCATTGTTGCAAAATTCTCCCACTTCTGATCCTTTTAGTACTCCCACCTCTGGCTCTTTCCTCTCCCATCTCCCATACCCCCCTGACCCCTATTTCTCCCAGGATTCCATTCCCTGTCTTCCCCCAACCTGTCAATATGAGACACTAAAAATGGTTGCAGTCTACATAGCTAGGAAACAACTCAGCACTAAGCTGGGCCTTTACTGTGCTTTTCACAAACATGAGAATTCTGAAGTTCAAAAGCCAACTGACGATTGCATTTTTCGCTGCCGTTAATCATCTTAGCGGACCTCTTAGGAAACAAAACTTTACTTTAACGGGTTCAAAAGGTCAAGGTTTGTGATTTGTAATTGGTGGATTTCAATCCGTTTTGTGTGTTTCTGTGTTTCAAGGTTCGTTGCTTATGATCGTAATTATGATTGACGGCAGCAAAAAACGCAACTTTGAAGGCGCCTTTTGAACTTTAGAGCTTGCATGTTTGTGAAAAGAGCAGTAAACCCAGCAGCCTACAGAAACAATGGTGTAAAAACAACGTACTCCTATTAATAAAAGACAACCTAACAACCTTGCCAGACGTTATCTCCATTCATGACTCAGAAGGAAACTTTGGCTGTTGAAAGTTCTATAAAGTAAAAGCCCTGGTGATCACATTTTTTCAACAGAAAACTCCTACAGGTTTAAACCAGTCGAGATAAGCATTCGATAAGCATGGAAGACAACACTCCATCTTTTGCCCCGGCAAAAAAGCTGGTACTCCTTCTTTAACTTCAGTCTCTAAGCTTAAATTTCTATTACTTTATATATTGTTTATTTCATTTTCAGCATTTGTTATTTTGCAACAACTGCTTAATAAACACGTTAACCCCAGCTATCAGATCGAAGATTATGTAATCGAAGAATTCAAGGATCAGCTTCTAAAGGGTAGCGAATTCGCAGAAAAACAGTTAAACACATCAACAGAGGAAAATATTACCTAAAGATAAATCAAAATTAAGTTAAGACATCTTACCTCCTCAATTCGTGCGGTAGATCCTCTGGTTAATCGCTTTCCAGGAAGCTTTTCATTCGAACCAGGAGAATTAAAGATGTCGTCCACAACAACATCGATTTGTCTGACCTTCTTTGATCTTGCTGATTCCGATGGACTTTCAGAGGGTTTCCTTTTTGACATGTTGATCAAGGCCTTTCAAAGCAATCGTCTGATTCTATAGGAGTGCTCTGCTAGGCTACAAATATCACTGAACGGCGCGCGTTCTATTATTGGAACGAAGTGACAGACTGTTTCGCGCCAATTTTCGCGAGATTCACCGACACCTTTCCTCACCCTCCCACCCCTATTGAGTAGAAAATATCCTCAGTATTCTTTTCAAGAATAATTCTTGATTACGTTTCTTCGCGTATCAAAAATATGCTTGAGTTGATTTTTTTTCATTTTTTCTATCTCTTATTACAAAAGTTATCGAGTAATTTGGTAAGCGAGACAATTCTAAGTGGATAATTACAAAGCCACTTATGTGACAGTACCCTGGGAAGGGATTATATATCGATGACGACATCCTAGCAGGCGTGGTTGCTCATTACGCTTTAGTAACGGAGTAACAGAGTTCGTTGTTAGCTTCGCTGCAAACATTTGCATATTTTTTGTGCTGAAGAATACATACAACGTGAAGGCTTAATTCCTTGATGTTATAATCCATGCTTTTTGGCAATCTACAACATAATTTCCTGGAACTTTTTCTCATTTTAAAAGATCAAGAATTATCTATAGATGTGCAGATAAACGGATGTCGCGTGACATGTGCGCTACAATACTCACAACCGCCATGGAATTTTCGAATGGAGTAAATTGCTGACTTTATTATTTTCTCAAAACGTTAATTTGTTTTTTATCTATAAATGAGGCTAACGACAGCTTGTGATCTCAAGCACGAATACGATTTCTACGTTTTTTGGCGGCATGTATAATCAAAGATGGCTTGAACTCGCCAAAAAAAACACTTGGCCTTTCTGATCGACTGACGTGAACTCAAAAGGGAAAATGCAAAGCTCAGAAGCTGTGAAAGGTGTACTTCAGGATACACATTTATTAAACACAGGTTTTGGTCGGCCTGAACCTACGAGGACTACGCAAACTACCAGACATCGCGCAAGACCCGTATCAGGTAGGCAAAAACTTGTAAAGCGTCAAACTCTTGTAATGTATTGTGTACTTCTAAACAAAGCTTATTATTGCAAAGTTTGGATTGGTAAAACGTATTGTACATTTGTAATCTAAAAGTCGTTAAGCCGGGGGTGTTTGTTCACAATAAATATTTGTAGGATTAACAGTTTTTTAACAGTATAATGCTGTAAATTAATCCTTTTTCCCTTGCCTTTTTAAAATTAGAAAGAAACTAAGTTTTCTACTGATAGGTAAGTATGGAAGACCGACAGGGCTAACAACTTTTGTTCATTTCCATGTGTCCCATTTGCTGCATTTGAGTCTATATTGTGCGGCATTAACTTCCTAATGACGAAAATTCTGCGATGCCACCCCTAGTAAAAGGCTATGTTCACAATGTACCGCAGTAGCTCTTGTGCCGACCTGAAACCATACTGGATAGGGCTTCTCTTCACATATCTTGACTTGATATTTCTGTGCAGTGCCGATCCTGAAAGTGCATCATCACATATGGGATAGATTTCTGCCACTCTTTGCAGCAGTGTGAACAGGTGTTCAGACTGCAGCGGAGGTAAATACTTAGGCATGAGTACTGGTCCCCATTCTTGGCCAACCGCTCTGGTAAAATGTTTGATGTGTATGAACGACTTGCTCCAGTTCTGTGCCTTGTTTACAAAGTACCAGATAGCATTTCAAGTTGGCACAAAAAGCTACCTAGCACAGTATATTGTAGATATTAAAGGTCAAAAATTAAATTCAGATTTTTTTTAACCTAGGTTGATTCTCAATTTCCTTTGTCTCCTAGCCCTAATTCATGAATATATAACGAGGGCTAGGAGACAAAGGAAATTGAGAATGTGTAGTTCCAGAAAATATCCGTTCTCTCCCCATGGAAGGGATTGGAAATTCCTGGGGGGTGGGGGGGTCTCAAAGGCCCAAAAATTTAAGTAAATGTATGAAGCTTGACTGGAATTTCCAGAGAGGTGGGGGGGGGGGGTCTAAGAAAAAAATCCCTTCTGTGGGGGAGATATGGATAATTCTTGGAACCACACAATCAACCTAGCTGAAAAAATTTTAACCTGAGTTCAATTCTGACCTGTAACAATTTTTAGGCATGCGTCTTGTGCATCTTGAAATCACCCAGGTGCAGAACATAAATAACTGTATAAACTAGCTTGGTGTTCCTTATTAACATAAAATTTAGGCTAGTACAATGTACCTCTTGCACGTCTGCCATGGTAGGAAACTTAGGCCATCTGAGTGTCAGAGATGGTTACTTTTCAATTTAGAAGAACAGAAATTTAAATGATCTCAGTTCTTAGTGGCAAAAGCTTCTCTTAAGAGCTCTTAACCTAACAATAAAACAAAACATAACATTCCTCCAGAAAAACTTCACCATTACTCTTTTGTGTTAATGATTTGGTTGTCTGATTGCACAGGCAAGTTGTACAAATGTAGAATGTATCCATGCACAAAAAGATGTTGCTCTTTTCCAAAGGGACTAGTGAAATTGTTAAGAAATTTTTCGTTCCTTGTGCATCTGTACTAACCAGTATCTTCTTACATTAAAATTAAAAATTGCAAAACTGATTTTACTCTGTTCAGACTGATCATTGCTATTTGGATCTCTCTTATCCACAGCACCACCAGCCAGCCAGCCTCGTTGGAGATTTCCAAACTCTCCAGAGCCTAAAAGAGCAAGAAAATTTCATGTGAGCCTCAATCACACTCCATTTGAAAGTAGAACCAGCCAAAAAGCTCCATACGCCCCTAGAGCCACCATAGGAGGTAGCACAACACTACGGGGAAAGGAATTCTCTCCAGCAGTTTACAATTCCCTCAGTGATCCTCATTTGAATCCTTACTTTTCCAGAAAGTTTGGAAAAAGTGCTTCTTTGAGGGAATCAGGGGTTTCAAAGTCAAAGGTGTGTGATTATAAAACAAATAGCTGTTTAGTGTCTTTAGTCACCTGACACCCTAATCTACAATGTACATACACACGTACATGTTTGATACATGTAAGTTATCTTATTTTATACATGTACATACCGCTGTTGTCTAGCCCGGGAGTTTTGGCTTGGGGGGCAGGAGTTGCGGTACTCTCATAAGTTAATTTCAGATAGGTGCTTGTCACCCAGGGTCTTAAACTCTGACCTTGTTTAGGAATGAACCCAAAAAATTACACCCTATTTAAGAGAAAACAAAAACTAATAATTTAATGGCAACACATAAACCTTTCCAAATACACTGAGGGATACAGTGGAAGCCCTATTGACAGACACTTTCATTAGGAGACAGCTCTATTTGAACATGTACAGCCACCTTCAAAAAATCCTGTGACAACTCCCATATAAACTCTGTAGTTTTATATTCCCGTGATTAAGTGGACATTCCTTTAAGCAGCTGTGACCGGACACTTTCAGGGTTTCGGGTTTGATATTGGCTTTGTTTTTAGGCTTCCATACACACAGACTACACGAAATGAAATCTTATTCTCCTCTGAATCTGTATTTTAATAAATGAACTTGAAATTGCTGTTCATCACAATGAATTTTATATCAGTTTCAGCTATTGCTTTTTTTTCACAGGTTATACATATACATTGTAAGCTTGTTAGTTGTAACAATTATTGACAGTTTATATTATAACTGTAGAGTGGATAGTTTGCATGTCTCTATAACTCCGATAGCTATGTTGGCTTGAGTTGTATTCTCCTTGTATGGTCACCCATGCCAAACAGGTTGAAGGGTAGATGCCAGATGAAGACTGTTAATTGTTCAGGTCCAAAAATTGGCTAATAACCCACTCATGTAAAGCACCCTTATTACACCAAAAGTAGTGTTTCCACTGTACCCTGGGAGCAGAAGCAAAAGTCACTATTAACAATAGAGTCAGATGGAGAAAATTACATGTATAGTAGTTCCTTGGATTGAAGAGGACTAATGATGATGATGATGATGGTGATCATTATAATTATTAGGAACTCTGTTAAGTGGGTACATTGTATAGGTACAGTACATTAATTCATGTACCTAGCTGTCATCCCAAGGGATGCGATTCTTGAGCCATTTCCAAGGTCTGAAAGTGTGTTGAAAAGTATCAGGGATTTCGTACTTCTTTGACAATGATTTAAGTGATACGAAACATTTTTAAAGAGTTTTAAGGTTTTTAAACAATTTTTTACTATGCATTATTTTACCAAGATGGCTATTTAATACTACAGCTATAGATATCCCTTTATTTCCATCAGGGAAGAAAAGGAAGTAGCAGTAAGACAAAGAAAAAAGGTTAGAAATATATGTAATTAATTGTAACTGTTAATTTTTTTTTTTACATACCCTCATTGGCCCCAATTGTCTTTCCTCTGCCATTTACACTGAAATTATTTTAACACTTCAAAACTTAAGTTCCTCTTTTTTTTGTTTGTTGAAGGAGTCACCTACAAAGTAGTGGTGAAAACGGGAGCCAAGAAAAATGGTGGCACAGATGCGAAGGTACTGTAAACATCTGGGCCCAGTTGTTCGAAGGCCGATTAGCGACTAACCCAGTGTTAACTTTAACCCAGGTTTCCACTTCTTTTATTCAAAAGCATTTTCTTGGATATTTTTCTCTGTTATTTTTAAGAGCATCCAATAATCAACTTGTTGACAAGAATTTACTTTCAAAGCTTTCATATCTGAATTCAAATTCTGCACTAACCCTGGGTTATCTTAACCCAGCTTTGAACAACCGGCCCTGTCCTGTATCTATGCAAATCATTTTACCATGATTACTTTTTAATACTTAGCTTGTCATGGGTTTTTATGTACCTCATTACCAGACACTGGTGGATAGATATGGCTTCACACAATTTTGAAATTAAACTCTGCTTTTTACTTTTCACTTGCAATTAGATTATTTTAAAATTTAAGTGCCGGTACTTTTCCAGGTCTGCATGAGCACATTATCCACCATCTATTGTTTTATGAAAATAATGTCTAAAAAAGCATGAAAAACTGGCATATGCTGCTGGGATTCTAATGCATTGAAACAAAATGGTTACAGTAAATTCCCAAGGCTTTTTGTGTAAACCGCAAACTATTGTTTTACATTAAAAAAAATTGTTAATCCTGGGAAAGTATTATTTTAAAAAGCTGCTTTGTTTTATAGAAAGTATTATTAAATAAATAATATAAATTCTCATTATCAGGCAAATTTTTGTTAAGGTTATTTTTTAGGTCCCTAAAAAAAGGGAAATAAAAGAAAAACAATGTTTTCTCAAAAGCAAACTGCCATTAAGTAAATTATGTTAATGCTACTACAAGTACTAACTTTTTGCTTTAAAATAATCAACACCTCTGAGATTCATGAATCATCTATTAGTATTCATCTTCTGTTGAAATTCTGAAATCTCACTTCAGGTTTTTGCTGAATTTCGAGGGACAACAGGCAAATTTACTCGACACCTCACACACCAAATGGATTCTGCTGTACCATCAGCATTTATTGCTACCCTACCACCCTTCCAGTTCCACTCAGGAAGCACAGAAACCTTCAACATTAAAGGACCAGATATTGGAGAGCTCATCCAACTCACTATACAGGTAATGGCAATGAGTAAAAATAATGTGCGCACATGCTGTTCGTTATCATTTTTTTCCATTTTTTAGTTTTGAAACACATGAAAATCATCTGCTTGGTTGACATGTACTGTAATTAAGTGCATCGTGCATGGAGCAGATGCAAGGGATTAGATGGGGTGAAGTGTACAGTATTTGGTATGAAAAGGAGAGTACAAGGTTACTTAGGAACCCTGGCCTGTAGATGTGCCCTTGAGTAAATTATTTTCCTTTGCATACAATACTTTTATTTCATTGACAAAATGACAAGCTTAGGAGCAGAAGTCTTTATATATGAAAAGTTTGAAGTTTGAACTGGGCTTACTGACCTCCATATTTATATACTATTATAGGGGGTTGGAGAAGTAAGAACATGCACTTTAACTCTGAAAGCTGCTTTAAAACTTGAGCACATATTAATAAATTTTGACCCAACAGCAAATCAAAGCAAGCAATGGAAGTGCAGTCGACTCTTTCTAAGATGGACACCTTTGGGACCTGTACTAAGTGTCCATCTTAGAGAGGTGTCCGTCTTATAAAGAGTCAAATAAAAGGAGTAAAGAAAGGCAGGGACCAACTCTAGGTGTACGTTTTACAGAGGTGTCTGTTAAGAGAGAGTCGACTGTATTATGCAATGTTACATGTATCGCTTTTACAGTAGAACTGTTGCTTAAGTCTAATCACTGTTTGCCCTGCATATAGCCTACTTACATGGGCTGTAAAACTAGCCAGCTGCAAGCCTCTTCCTAAGGTAACTCCCTCTAAAGCCAATGATTTAATTTTTCTTTGAAACTTGTTCACAGTTGGTATTGTATAAGTTTTTTGTTTTGATCTGTAGCATGATGGCAGAGAACGCAAACAGGGGTGGTTCCTTGATGAGATCCAGGTGACAGATCCTAAAAAGCCTCAAAGCTGGATATTTCCTTGCTACCAGTGGTTGTCGCTGTATGAGAGTGACTGCCAAATACGACGCAGTCTAAAACCATTGGTTCATAAAAAGTCAGAGAAAGTTGGTATGTGTAGCTACATGCACCTAGATTTTATACAGTACATTTGTAGTCAAACCTTATTAATATGGACACTGAGGGGGCCATAGAAAGTGCACATATTAATGGGGTGTCTGTCTTAAGTGGTTTGAATTTAGAGAAAATTAATGGAAGGTCTATCTTTCCCCAGGGACAAAGCAAATCACTGCAGTGTATATTTCATATTCGAAGAGTATGTGTTGGATATGAGATAGCCAATGGTAGATAGGTAGATAGTTGGTAGATAGCCAAGGAGGCGCATAGTGCCGAGTTGACTATCATCATCTCATATGCAACAAGCACAAGTGGAATAAAACGCCCACAAATATCGAGAATTATTCCCAACTTTATTTGTAAAAACAAACCGATTTTCAGCTTGTTTTTAATTTTGAGCAGATGCGGACAGTTACTATATTTGGAGAGCATAGTATAGTGGCTCATATACCATGATGGCTAAGCCAATCAGAGCTCTAGAATTGCATTGTAAATCCAATGATTCAGTTTTTAATTATGTAATTTACATTTTAATTTCCAACACGTCTTATCATGCCACATGAATAATTACAGCTGTTTAAATGTAATGGAGACAAATAAAGACATATACCTGCATGCTTTTTTTTCTGGACAGTTTATGTGATAGAAGTTTACACTGGTGATAAAGCAGGAGCCGGTACTGATGCTCATGTGTTTGTTACTCTGTTTGGTAAAAGAGGTCTGACCCCCAAAACACAGCTTATCAGCAGGTGAGTGTGTTCCTTCACTCCTGATCAGCTTCAAATTTCTTTCATGTTTTCAACTTGAAAACAGTTTGCAGTTTGTAATGCTGTCCTATTACACGGTCCTTTTTTGTGCTGAAATCAGGCAGTTGATAGCCAATAAGATTTAAGAATTTTGTTATAGTTATGATTAATAATTTAATTTTAAATTTTAGACATCTTATGATCGACTCCCCTCAGGCCTCGCAAAACACGTGAATTCCATCTTGTCCTTTGGTCAAGCAGGTGTCACATTTTTCTTGCCGTGGTCACTTCTTTCTCGTCTTAGTTGATGATTCTGTTAATGGATGGCTTACTTGGGCTAAGCGTGCTTTTGGGTATGCTTTAAAAGTTACTTGCCCAGCAAGAAATCTACTTTTCGCGCACTACCGGACGGAAAGTTTTTCGAGCCCTGCTCAGGGCTTATCAAGTACTGAAGTAATGAGTAAGAGACTACCACACCGGGGACTATGTCCCATACTTTTTACAAACAGTGTGTAGGTTCTTTAGAGTCTTACAATAGGCCACTTGCACTAAGAGGTCACGTAACCAATACTTCTTTTTCCAATGAGTTGGAATCTTTCTGATGCCAAAAATTGACAGAGCCCTGTACGGATTAGGTCTGCAGCCTTGGTGGCAGCAAAAATATGTCTTTTAAGAATATTGCGAAAATTGGGCAATATTTTAAGAATAAACCCAAGGCTGAGATTTTGAAAAGGATACAATTTTGTGTGTTGAGAATCCGTGAATACAATACAGTTTTGTTTTTAACTTAACCATAAAAAATTCTTCCTTTCTCTAAATGGGAAAAAGAGCCAACAAAACGAAAAATCCTGCAATAACTGTAATTGATCATGATACCCCATTACACATTCTAAAACGGAAATGTCACAAGCTCTAGTTTGAGAATAATACTAGAATAAAATCCAGCCTAAAAATGGCAGAAAAATAAGAATATTCGACCTGGGCCGGAAAAACAACATTCTTATAAAAACAAAAGAGTGTACATAGGTGCATATAACTAAAGAACCAGCAAAAGTGTAATATCGATTGTTTTAATTCATTTCTGTTTATGAGCAGGACTGATGATGCATTTGAGCGAAAAAAGAAAGACGTGTTCAAGATCAAGACAACTGACATTGGACCACTTAGGAAGTTAACGTAAGAAAATGTCAATGCATACATGCCAGCCTGCGTCTCATACGTAATCTTACTCCGGTTCACCCGGTTAGTAACGTCTGCGAAGCAGTGCCGATATCCTTGTTCTAGGCCCCCAACGGACTCAATGAAATCACCGGAAATGCGTTGCGAATTTCCCTTCATCCTGATTGGCAAATTGACAATAGATTTTTTTAATAAGCCAATCATGGTGCGTAATCAAATCCTGATACTCAGGTGGGGGCCCAGAACTAGGATTTTGGCACTGTTGCGCAGACGGACTTAACCAGAGTTTAGTTTCGCCTGTGGCACAGGCCAGGGCTTCACTGCAACCTTTAATTTTTTCTATTAAAATTAAATTGTATTCAACTTTGATTTATCACAGCGTGGAGCATGATAATTTTGGTTTTTCCGCTGGATGGTTTCTAGATAAGGTGAGTGAGACAGAATATACATTTTCCACTCCCTTTTTTCCCTCTTAATGTATAGACTTAATTAGCTAGGCCTAAACGTGAAACTCCTGTTAATATAGTCATAATATAATTTTAAACCCAATTAACTTTAAGCCATGACAAGGAAAACCCTTAACCGCCAATCTCTGCTTATCGTAGCTTAAGAAGCCTTCATTGCACCTTTTTAGGGAAGGGCTGTGTGATTTAAGAACATACTAAAACAGATCTCCCATCGACCTAAAAATCGTATGTTGACATTAAAAAACAAAACATCATGAATCAAGTTCGAATACAGTACTGTCGAAGCTCTTGTAGGCCACCACCTCGGAAATTCGAAAAAGTCGTCTTAACCAGAGCTGGTCGCTTACGAGAATGAGCTCTCATAAGCGACCGCTCGGTAAAACAGTAGAGGGTGGTCGCTGACGAGTGCTTTAGAAAGGCATTAATAGTTCATAAAGAAGAAACAAAAGATTTTAGTGTGTAATGAGTGTCTTTATATCGGAACTGCGCGCGTGCGGAGCCCCATAGCTAAGTAAATCTTCCCATCCTAGAAAATTTGGTGATCACGTGACCTTACACCGCTCGAGCGACCGACCGACCGACCGACCGTCCGTCCGCACCACAGGCACACCAATATAAAATAACTCAATCAACAGGTATGGCAACCCAAATGCAGGGGAAGAAAATCGCATGACCGCCCGGACTTTTAGAGAGAGAAAAAACAACAACAACAACAAAGTCGTGTCTTTTTCGACGTGACTTTTGATATTTACACTCACGTGGATAACAGAGAAAGAGCTAGAGAGACGAATTTCGTTGGAAGAAAACGTGAAAATTTCATAGCGGCGGTGAGAAAATGAGAAATGCTAGCGGCCAGGGGCCGGTTGCTCGAAGCCTGGTTAGCGCTAACCGTTGGTTAAGAGGTATCAAAATGTATAGGTTTCCATGGTATTTAACGCTGATTAGCACTAACCATGCTTCGAGCAACCCGGGCCAGGTGAAAATGAGCGGCAGTGAAAAAATAAAAGCGAACATGAACACAGGAAACACAATTCCACCATAAAAATAATGTTCAACGAGGAAGTTTGACGTTTTAGTCGTACAAAACGGCATTGTAGTCGTGCAAAACAACGGCAAAGAAAGACAAAAAAGCGTGCTGCACGTGCAAATTTGTTTTTTTGCTTATTAAGAAAAAAAAGTGTGCTGCACTTGCAAATTTGTTTTTTTGCTAATTAGAACTATTGACCTTGATGCCATTTTCATTGCCGTCCTCGTTTAGCATTACACGATTTATTTTTTTTTGTTTATAAGTATTATTAACCAGAGCTTCGCTTTTAGCCCAAGCTAAATCTATATATTATCTGATATAGACACAGCTAAAATTTACGTCCTACTTTTTGGACCTTGAACTTTTACAAATACAATACTGTACAGTTCAAGATCTTTATCAGCGAACCATTGACGCAGCATGCAGTTTCATTAAAGTATTGATCTACGAGAGCTTAAAAACAAAGAAAAAGTCCAGTTGGGTGATCTCAAACGTGGTCGCGGTGGCTTACGAGAGCGGTCGCTTACGAGAGTCTTTCATTGCTGCCAGTTTAAGTTACAGTTCAAATGGGGTATCACAAAATTGGTCGTAACTAGAGCTGGTCGGTTACGAGAGTGGTCGCTTACGAGAGTCTTTCATTACTGCCAGTTTAAGTTACAGTTCAAACGGGGTTTCACAAAATTGGTCGTAACTAGAGCTGGTCGCTTACAAGAGTGGTCGCAATGAGAGCTTCGACTGTTGTAGGTTTGAAAAAGAATTCTTACGACTACTACTTAATACTTTCCATACGAACGACTACAACTCTGTAGTCTACACAAACAGCGCGGTACGTGTTTTGTGCAATGCATTCACTGAGGCATTAAATCTGCGGCGATGGACTTACAATACAAATTATAAACGTGACAACAATTTAAAAGGCGAATCGAAAATTTCCCTATAGATCGATTTTTTTTTTCCGGCAAGGATGTAGAAAGTGTTAAAAGACGACCAGAGAAGTGATCACGGGGGCAACTGTTGCAAAAGGCCTATTCACCGAATTTGTTGCCACAAATTCTCCTAATGAACTGGCGCGTTATTTTTGTTTTGTGACCCAACCAAAGCTCTTAATTAAAATCGTAGAGCGCGAAAGATCCGTGAAAACCAAAAATATACAACAGCACAGAGCATATCACATCACAAAGATCATTCAGTGAAGACTGCAGCAGACGTTGTGTATTTATAACGAAAATATTAGTGGACGATCGTCTCATTTTGAAATCATGATCGTGTTCGCGATGATCTATTGCGTAAATGTTTTTCTGGGTTTCTTCGGTAACCTCTTGGTCATACTGGTGGTATCTATTTATCGAAGATTTTACCACATGAGATACTTTCTATTGGCCAGTTTGGCATTTTCTGATTTCCTCTTCACGAATTTGATAACCGCTTTTCGTATGCTGGCCTATGGTCTAGGTAAGTGGATTTTTGGTTCACCTTGGTGTTATGGTACAGCGTATTTCGCCAGATTTCTGCACCTCAGCACGGTACTTCATCTGTGTGCTGTTTCGTACGAGCGATACGAAGCCATCTTTAAAAATCCTCTGACCTATGACGGCTGCATCACAAAGAAAAGAGCCATAGTAAGTATAACGTTGATGTGGATCATCCCCGCTGGTATCTCTCTTGGTCCCTTTCTCGGATGGAGTGACTATGTGTACAACCCAGCAATAATGGTATGTGAGCAGAAATGGGACATGGTAACAACACTGCCGCTCCTAGCAACAACATTTCTTGTACCGCTTGGAATAATTGTCTTCCTAAACTACAGAGTCCTCAAAGTTGTCAGCAGACTTCAGAGTAGTTTCAAAATAATTCCATTCACCGTTGAAGAACAACCAGGAACAGGACATCCAGGGCAAAATGTCCAAAACCAGTCCGAGAAGCAAGGCAAAGTAAAGAGAGAGCGAAACATGCACTTTTCAGGCCTTTTGACAAGAAACGAGGAAGGCGAAACTATCAAACAGCCTCGCAAACGTCATGTAATTAAGCAAGGGACTTTGAATAAAGGCAGCGTTAATGCAGAAGAAAGGCAAAATCCCGCTTTCCAGGAAGAACCTGAAGAAATTAGGGAGGTAACACACCAACCAGTCTTTGCTCAGAAAAACGAGGGATCACCGGAAGTTCGGTGTAGCGGCCCAGTGCAATGGGGTAGTAAATGTAGTAAACGAACGATGAAAGAGATTGAAAGTGTGAAAGAAGGATTCAACTCAACACTACAACCGACGAATTCGTCTCCGAATGACCAAAACAGTTGGTTCGAGGTTCACATCGTAGAACATGTTTCGCCTCAACAAACAACTAGCCAGGAGAAACAGCCTCACGAAGATGACAGTGTGGACTGCAAAACAATTCCACTTCAAAAGGGGGAGACTAAGAAAACCCAGAAAACGTTAAAAGGAAGCTCAAAAAGCAGAGTGTATCAAGAAAACACTGGCAGCCTCTACATCTTTCAAGGAACAACACTAGAAAACAAACGAAGGTCTCATCAATCAGATGCAGAGACGACCATGAGCCAGCCCCAGGACTGCAAAGCGCCTTCAGCTGAAAAGCCGAGAAACCCGCTTGGAAAAACACAGAAGAGACTTATCAAGTTGCTTAAAGAAGGAAAGGCAGCCAGAGATGTCATAATCGTTACAGGAGCGTTTCTTCTATGTTATCTTCCTTTGTGGGTATCAGCTTGCTATCGTACGTTCGGGGGAGAACTATCCGTAGAGGTAATAATTTCAGTCCATGGTATTTATGCCACCACCATGATCTGGAATCCTATTATATACTCTATTCGTAAAAAAGATTTTAGGCAAGCAGTCAGAAGGTTACTGAGGTTGTGACAGTTTATGATTTTAAAAACATCAACATATCAAAATCAATTACAGCAAGAACAGTAAAGATTGCACAACAAAAGTCCGATTCCAAAAGTCTCCATTCATGTAAATTGTTGTGTTCAAAGGAATAGAAAGACGTTTTTTCCCCTTTTTTTCGGTTATATTTAAATACTCTAGGACTTAAGCTCAACATGTAAGATTAAAGTGAGCAATGGTCTTCTGATTTATTTAAAACTTCAGCACAGATCACCTTTCACGGCGGTTTGAAAAAACAACATCATTTCAAGGAACAAAACCGTTTTTCCTGTTTACTTAATTTAGCAGAGTTTCTTATGTAAGAGGCGGAAAGATACCATGCAATTGTGTATATATTTTATTCATTAGCTAGGCATTGAAAATTTCGAACGAGGGATTAAGTTTATTTTGATTCTGATAAAACTTTATCCGAAACAATGCCAATCGTTGGTTACACTGCTCTCAAGCAAACTCGTTTGCCTTAACATTTTTGAAGCAGACTTAAAGTGTCGAAAGGGATGGTGTATTACTTTATATAATCATGCCTTGGTCTGGACGTTGATGCAAAATCAATATCCTTGTTCGATGGAACACGTGGTATATTTAATCTGTCCTGCTAAGAATCATACGTTATATACCTCTGCAGTACCTTGCCCCAAATGTTTATCAGTTTCTGCTAGCACTGACCAGTTAATATTTGAGCAAGTCATATATGTAACCTTTGAAGGAATAAAGTGGAAAAAAAAAACGGAAAACATGGATTGGATTATTCTGAAGTGTTATTTTACTTTTTATAATATGTTCATGTTGTCCTTCAGTTGCATTTTTAAAAATTAAAATATCGTTCTATAGGGATAATGCCGTCGATCAGCGAAAGCTTGGATCTCAATTTTATTTTTAAACAGCAGTTTAAGGCTTTATTAGAACGATATTTTAATTTTTACTTTTTCATATTTTGATGAAAGACTTCCTAGCGGAGGAGTACAAAAGACAGACATACGCCCATCCTTTTAAATTGTCGTGGATATCGAATAAATGTTTAAGCGGCCCTACGTGTCGACGTTTCCCAGTCTCATAACTCCGTTGATCCTAAACTGACTACAAATTTTCAAAAACAAAAAAAACACGCTGATTAAAGGCAAGGCAATGCATACTACTTCAGGCCTAAGCAGAAATGAAAGATACGAATGATTGATTTATTTGTGTAAATATCACATAAGTGCATGTCGCCGTTTTCACAAGATCATTTCTTTCCTTTCAGTTTCAATGTTTAAATTGTCATGGACATTGAATAAATGTTCAAGTTCAAGCCGTGCCGATTGTTCCTACGTGTCGACGTTTTCCTGCCACATAAATCCGTTGATCGTAAACTGAATGCAATTTTCAAACGCGAGGCAATGCATACTACTTCAGGCCAAAGTAGAAATTAATGTCACGAATAATTGATTTAAGTGTGCAAATATCACATAAGTGCGCGCGAGCGAAAAGTGTTTTCGCTGTTTTCACATGACCATTTTTTTCCTTTCAGTTTGAATGTTATTGCCGTTTTTTTTAATCTGTTGTTATTGATTTTCTGATAATGGAAATCAAAGTTCAATAATTCTTGTCGATTTTGTGTAAAAAGACTGATAAAGCGTACAAATGCCCCCAAAGCATTGAAATCCTATAATTGGGGTGTTGTTTGTTTATTTGTTAAAAGAGCCATACTACTCAAGGAAGATCAGTGACAAGAACATCTGCCCTGATTTTTAAATTGGATGGTGCATTATAAAAGACTTTGTTATGTTTAGTATGCGCGTCAAGATGACAACTCTGCCGTACCAAAATATGCAACAACTGATCACGTTAATTGTCCTTTAAATTTTACATAATCGGGTAGGGCGCGAGTACTAGCGGGGATACTGTTTCATATCTTTGCACTAATTCTTGAAAAAAATTTTATATGGTAAGTTGTTAATTTCGCCCCATTAATTAGCATCAGGTCTTCTCGGTAACGGTGCCTTAACCTGTAGAGGGCTGCAGTTTTGACGTCATTTCCTCGTTAAACACAAAATTCTTCCAAATTTGGTCATCACTAACTGGTTATGGTGAATCATGCGTGTGCTTTTAGCCAATCAGAATCGGGGAAATATTTTGAATGAATAATAATGTAAGGTAATCCAAGGACAGCCTTGGATTCTGGATTTTACTTTGTGGATTCCCGATTCCTTGAGCTGAATTCTGGATTCCAAAGTCCAGGATTCCGGATTCCGCAAGCAAAATTTTCCAGATTCCGGAATCCGGATTACCATGTAAAGCATTGCAATGGTCAGCTGTGTTATTGAAATCCGAACAAGAGTGAGGGCAAAATTTTCTTGTTCTACTAACTTAAGGCGAGATTTAAAGTGGTATATGAATGAACTAGGTACGCGAGCAGCAACAAACGAATTTGATTGTTTTAGAAAACACTCACCGTATTCCAAGCTAACCTGCGATCACGCCCTCCCTTTATCTCCCCACCCACTTCCCCCGCCCACCCCCCTTAAAAAAGCAAAAGCAGTTTTCCATAATTTGGGGCAACGAATACTGAGTTGAGATTGGACTCCAGAGAACGGCACTTTTCCCCTGCCAGGGTTTTCTTAGCAGAAAAACGGCAAGACGATGTTTGGTTAATTTTAACTACATGCTTATAGAACAATTAGTGAACACTTGGGAAAGCCATTGTTCACGGTGAAACGAAAATCAGTCTAAAATATAATGTGCTTCTTCTTTTCAGATAATAGTGTATTGTCGTGAAAGAGAAGATCGGAGGTTCTACTTTCCATGTAACCAGTGGCTAGCTAAAGATGAAGGAGATGGGCTGATAGTGCGTCAACTGACAGCAACAACTGACTCCTCAGCTGCTTTTGAAGGTCATTAATTTGAATCTAAAACGACCGAATTATTGGCCACTTTAGAAACGCGAAGGGAACTGGAGCCGAAATGTGTCCCGCAGTTAATTCTGGGATCGTTACTGGGGACACACGGGTCAGCTATTAGGGACTTTAAGATCCAACGACGCGACGGCAACGCGAACCTCCAAAAACCAATAGATTTAACAAGCAAAACGACAACTTTGCACGTGCATCTCACTTTTTTGTACATTTCTTCGCCCTTTTTGCACGACTAGAACGTGAGAATCCAATTTCGTGTTTTATGAAGAACGTAAACAAGCAACGACGATTTTTTTTTCTCTTCCTGAACTTGGATATGGCCCCCTTTGAATTCAACTTCAGTAGAGTTTGCCTACACTTGACAAAGTAAGTGGGTAGGAATAATTGCGATAAAGACTGAGAGAATGCAAGTTCACTTTTAAAGCGACGTTCTCGTTGCCGTCACGTCGTTGGATCTTAATAGAGAGTTTTAGATCGGAGTTTACATCTAACCGAACATCTAACCGCGGTTTGCGGTTACCCGTTTGCGGTTCGACATTCAAACATAAATCGATTTAGATTGGCGGTGGATTAAAGAAGTGGATTCTGTTTTTTTTTTTTTTCATTTAGAAATAGAAGAAAAATCAATCAGTGAAAAGAAAAGAAATTTACGGTAACACTGGGTTATCTAGCAGCAAAGAGCTGTAAATTCTTACATTAGTTCTTCTTGCAATTTTACGGCCGCCAGTTTGAATCAGCAGCCATGAATGACACTTGTTTTCAAGATCCAATAGGATTTATCAAATTGAGCATTTCGCCCGAATTTGTGCCTCTGTTAATGGATAAAGACTTGCTCCACACGATTTTTGTATCATTACGTGGGATAAAACAAGAATTATACGCTAAAAGCTTTCAGGTAAATGACATACGTGAAAACCTATCTCCCCACGTTGAAAACCCACGTCGTAAACCTCAAACGTGACGCGAAAGACTTGTCACGTGACCTCCAGCGGTTAGAGGTTCGCGGTAAACTCGGATCTAAAACTCTCTAATGTCCCTTTTTTCCCTGTCCGTCGTAACCGTACCAGACGTCTTTGCGAAAGTTAACTCGGCCCAAGCCCCTTCTCGTTTCTAAGGTGGCGAATAATAAGAAAGATCTTTTCAATAGAGGAGAACTTGCAAGAGTAATTTAGGCAAACTTTCGGCGTTTTTAAATAGTTTGCGTTTTCGGCGAAAGGTGGCGAAATAATTAGCAGTAATATTTCGGCGTATTTGTCAGCCTCGTGACAGCTAAATTTCGTAAGCTCAGCAGAAAATCGTAGTGATAGTTGATGGCCTGAGACGAAGCATCATTTCGTTTCCTCTGGAAGAAAATTCGTCTTATAACGCAAAAGTTTGTTTCAGCATAGCAGTTGTGAACGCAATTTATGCAATTGCGTAAGAAGCCTGAAAAAAATTCAGGACTTCAACGGGTTTTGATCGCAGGTCACGGGTTCAAACCCCGTTGAAGTCCTGAATTTTTTTTCAGGCTTCTTACGCAGTTGCATAAATTGATTTTCATTTCCGCAGTTCATATATGATTTATTTCATATACATCGATCATAATAATGTTGGTTTGATGCGGACCTGGTTCTATAGCTATGTACATCGGTCGTTAGCTTGAACATACTTCTCAGGTTACTTGGAACAGTTTGGTGATGAACGTCAAATATCGTCAGGCTACGACCAGTCCCTGTGTTGCGTGGCAACAATTTGTCGCCCAATGTGTTCCGACTTTAGAAGTGAGTTCATTGCTTCTTTTCCAGGCCATCCTTACCTGGTTCACACATTCACTGGTGACAAGAGAGGGGCTGGGACTGACGCAAATGTAGTCATTACAATATTTGGAGAAGAAGGTGACTCAGGAGAGAAGAAGTTGGAGAACGCAAGGAATAATTTTGAGCGTGCAAAGTAAGTTTGGATAGATTATAACTTCATAGTATATTCTTGCATTGTTATCTACTGGGGCATTTCAAAACCATTGCAAATTGAAAAGATCCCTTTTCAGCCCCAAAGAGTCAATTTAGCCCTGCAGGCTAAAAGTCTGATTCAGCCCCTTCTTTGAGCACAGTTTAAGCCAAACAGCCCCATGAAATGCCTTTTCCAGCGCACGCTGGGACGCGTTTCAACTTTTGGGTCCAAATCAGCCCGAGGTAAGACTAACTGGACTATATTATGAGACGTTCTTAGTTAGTTCGTCAGGAAGGAACGCACCATGAAGACCTATGAACGTCTTGATGATAAGCGCGGCCAAATTTAATAGATCCCCCCAAAATAGCACTGTATTTTACTCACCGAAACGGTCCCATTTTTAAGGCTAAAACAGACCTTTTTTTTATTTACAGTGTGTCCACCACCAGAAAGTTGGGGTGAAACTTGAGAATTGTATAACTTTTTCTTATTGTGTGGATTCATTTTTCTAGGAAAGATTCTTTCAAGGTAATCTGTGGAACATACCTTGGACGACTGACCAAGATAAGAATTGGACACGACAACAGTGGTCTTGGTCCTGGCTGGTTTCTAAACAAGGCAAGTCTGATGTATTACTTTATGCACGTTTTGACTTCTGGAGAACGTTATGGATACACGGAGGGCGACTAAACAGTGTATTTACCTGATTCTATAAAGGTTGCTTTGGGTATTGAGCAATTGCGAACTGGGAAGTGGTCACTCACGCAAAGTATTACAGTGAGTTCTGTATGCCCAAATACCCATTACCCAATTGTCAATGAACAATTGCCAAAGCAGCCTTTATTGAATTACAGTGCAACCTCGATATAATGAATGGCCGAGACTGGCTATATTTATATTCTAATCACACTGAAACGATTATAAAATATTTTGTAACTAATCTAAATAATCACAAAACACAGAATAGGAGCGGGCATCTCGTTTATTGATCAAGCGAGCGCAAAACGTTACAAAAACAGCATTTCATGATTAGTTTTACAAACTCAGAGAAAATTACAACCGTAAATAAAATAAAAAACTAGGGTAGAAAAAGATGCCTCGAATGGCTCTTGCATAACTTAACAAATCTTAAATAGTGTACTAGCCCCTTGAGACTCCTTACAAACACGCCTTAAATACTTCAGCAGTATTATGCAACCTAATATACATACTCTTGTGAAACTAACAAAACGTTACAAAATATATTTATATTCTAATCACACTGAAACGATTATAAAATATTTTGTAACTAATCTAAATAATCACAAAACACAGAATAGGAGCGGGCATCTCGTTTATTGATGCCCGCGTTCGAAAATAAAGAAAGAGAAATGGCAAACTAAATATGTAAACTTTTAGACACTGAGAGAAGAGAATCTAGTTTGTCCTTAATATAACCGTCTTTAGCTTGATCCGTTTTCCACCTTCCATGACGCTTAAAAAGCCGATCGCTAACGCCTGCGTTAGCGGCCGCGGAAGCACNATGAAATGCCTTTTCCAGCGCACGCTGGGACGCGTTTCAACTTTTGGGTCCAAATCAGCCCGAGGTAAGACTAACTGGACTATATTATGAGACGTTCTTAGTTAGTTCGTCAGGAAGGAACGCACCATGAAGACCTATGAACGTCTTGATGATAAGCGCGGCCAAATTTAATAGATCCCCCCAAAATAGCACTGTATTTTACTCACCGAAACGGTCCCATTTTTAAGGCTAAAACAGACCTTTTTTTTATTTACAGTGTGTCCACCACCAGAAAGTTGGGGTGAAACTTGAGAATTGTATAACTTTTTCTTATTGTGTGGATTCATTTTTCTAGGAAAGATTCTTTCAAGGTAATCTGTGGAACATACCTTGGACGACTGACCAAGATAAGAATTGGACACGACAACAGTGGTCTTGGTCCTGGCTGGTTTCTAAACAAGGCAAGTCTGATGTATTACTTTATGCACGTTTTGACTTCTGGAGAACGTTATGGATACACGGAGGGCGACTAAACAGTGTATTTACCTGATTCTATAAAGGTTGCTTTGGGTATTGAGCAATTGCGAACTGGGAAGTGGTCACTCACGCAAAGTATTACAGTGAGTTCTGTATGCCTAAATACCCATTACCCAATTGTCAATGACCAATTGCCAAAGCAGCCTTTATTGAATTACAGTGCAACCTCGATATAATGAATGGCCGAGACTGGCTATATTTGTCTTCTGTAATGAGGTTCCATTATATCGAAGTTTTTTCCATATATTTTACTATTACTGGGGGTAAACAAAATTGTTCGTTATACCGAAGACTACGTTATACAGGGGTTCGTTATATCGAGGCTCCTCTTTATACTTTGTTTCAATGTTATTCTTAGTTCCAATTTTGTCTTCCTTTGTTTCAAACTGACTAGCATACATTACTTCACCCAAAAACGAAGGCAAATTAAATTTAAATCGAAATAAATTAAACCACAACATGTAAATAAATTCATCTCACGACCTGTTTATGAAATGTAAGTTAGTTGCGAGCTATATATCATGCAAGTTACCTCATCTATGGCATTTGACTTGCAATGAAAGGCTTTTGGTTAAACACAAAATAAAACTTACCGTTGACGTGATATATGCAACTGGTTTCAGAAAGGAAACGTCACACAAGACACGAAGAACTTTAAATAATATTTGTTCATTTATCAAATCGTTTCTTGCAAACCTGTTTTAGGTAACTGTTGAAGACCCTAAGACAGGTGAGGCAGTCGACTTCCCATGCCGACGATGGTTATCAAGAACTGAAGATGACAGACAGATTTCTCGTGAACTGATCAGAGGAGATACTAAAGATGAGGACATGATTGTTGATAAAGGTAATTATAAGCCACAGTCTTGTTGGCTTTAAACTAATCCTCGTTACTTTTTTGTACAACTGTGGAACAGGATCACGCTTGATCCTTTTGATTTTTACCATCTGCCGAGAAGCCGTAGCTTTGTTAGCCTCCCACGTAGATGTTCTTAGGGGTTTGTCACGCATTCCTGCCCCACGGGGAGGAGGGGTAGGAAGGATTGGGGAGTATTGCCTGACCAGCCAAAAGAACGTGTGCAGGGGAAGTTATAGCTATAGGCGGGCTTAAGGTCTAAAATAGATTCTGGAGTAAGGATATTGAATTGCGATAATGATATATGAAATAAATCATATATGATCTGCGGAAATGAAATGAAAATGAACAAATGATCGTCGCAGTGAACGCAATTTATGCAATTGCGTAAAGAAGCCTGAAAAAAAAAATTAGTACTTAAACAGGGTTTGAACCCGTGGCCTCGCGATACAGGTGCGATGCTCTACCAACTGAGCTATGAAGCCACTGACGTTGGGACCAGGTCATTTGTGGGTTCATATGTTCCCGTGAAAGAAATGAGTGTTAATGATATATGAAATAAATCATATGAGCTGCGGAAATGAAATGAAAATGAAGAAATGATCGTCGCAGTGAACGCAATTTATGCAATTGCGTAAAGAAGCCTGAAAAAAAATTCAGGACTTCAACAGGGTTTGAACCCGTGACCTCGCGATACCGGTGCGATGCTCTACCAACTCAGCTATGAAGCCACTGACTTTGGGAGCAGGTCAATTTTGGGTTCATATGTTCCCGTGAAAGAAATGAGTATTAATGATATATGAAATAAATCATATATGAACTGCGGAAATGAAATGAAAATGAAGAAATGATCATCGCAGTGAACGCAATTTATGCAATTTCGTAAAGAAGCCTGAAGCGTGAGACCCTAATGTAGATGCAGCCTGAGATTCCTCCAAAAACACGTTACCAGGTGGGGAATGCCCAGTGTTAAGAGTGTCTGACGTTGAAATTTCTCTTCACCATCCCGATTTATTTCCTTTAGGAATCCCATATCATATTCATGTCACCACCGGAGATGTCAGAAATGCTTCGACTAACGCACGCGTATACGTGATACTTCATGGAGGAGAAGACGGAGAAAGCAACAGCGGCAAACTCTGGCTGCAGAACGAGAAAAAAGACAATTTTGAGAGAGGAAGAACAGACATATTCACTGTTGAAACAACGGACATGTTGAGTCCCTTACATCACTTGACAATTGGCCATGATAACAGTGGACTTGGTGCAGGGTGGTACTGCGAGAAGGTAAACTGTCAAGTCATCACTCATGCTTTTTACTACTCACATGATCTGAGGTCACCACTTACCTCGTCTTCGTGCCTGCTCGGCCTCCACTTTGGTTAACTTGTCTACTCTTCTGGGTCATTAAAATACTGAACTTTTTTTCCGTTTCACGTTTTGTGGCTCTGGTTCCCAAAGTAGGCGAACTGATCAGACACGTAACGTCAATGATCTTAATGCGAAATTATAGGGCGTGTTGTGAGATCTGGTGGTTCAGATGTTTACTAAAACAGGAGTATTTTAGGTGCTTCCTGGGGTGTGAACTTGTCTGTAGAGAGGAAGGGGAGGGGTTGGGGTTGGACTTGCGACACCGTGACTTAGTGTTCCAAATCAAGGGTCAGTAAAGATGGTGGACATACTTGTTCATATTTCTTCCTAGGTGGTAGTTGACTGCCCTAGCAGTGGACACCAACAGATATTTTTGTGTCAGAAGTGGCTGGCAGACGATGAAGGAGACCAGTTAATGGAGAGAGATCTTTACGAATCCGAGGACATGAGACTCAAGAGAAGGCCAAGTATGTTTTCAATTTTATTTCGTTTGTTCTTCTGTTTATTCCATTCCCCCTTTTCATTTTGCTTTAAACTACGGTTCAGTCATTTATGATTTCTTAAAATTACTGCGAAAGAAGGTGAGGTAAGTAATAAAAAGACGTTTAGTTTCGGGTTGCAATTTTGTGTGTAGCAGGTTACATGCTACAAATATTTGTTGTGCCACAATGTACCCTTTGTTGAAGTTGTTATTTTCCTTTGTTTTTAGCGAATAGCAATGAGGATAAAACATATCTTTAGGCCGTAAAGAAAAAATTACAATTGCGTGGACTTTTTGTAGCCTCAAAATGGTCAAT